ATTTGGAAGGGGAAAGAGAAACTTCAGAGTGGAAGGGAACACCATAGGGTGCTTAATTAGATGAGTGTCATAGGATGACACTGACCACCAGTGCCATTTGAACCAGGTTGATGTAATATATTGCAAATATACATACTTTGAGTATGTACATCACCAAGATAACAAGAACATAGGCAATACATACTCCCTCTGTCCCACAGTAGTGGCTCCCTTTCAGTTATGATGCTTGACTGAAATAATTTTCAATTTAATTTATTAATATATTAATGCAAAATCAAAGGATACATTTTATATATTTAAAAGCTATCTCAGACTCTACTTTTGTGGGATTCTACTGGTTTGTTTTATTTAAAAACTACACCAAAAGCTCTATAGAACAAGAGATGTCATAAAAATTGTATGACTACAAATGCATAACAAAAATAAACAAGGAAAAATGATACTGTTTGACCCTAGCAAGAGTGAATAGGACAATTCTTATGGGACAGAGAGTATATCCAATGCAAACTCCGCGCACCAAGATATCAAGATTCAATATTAATGCGTTTCAAAACAAAATTTTATGGCAGAAATAATACAATAAAGGAAAACATAAACGAAATTATACAAAACCCACAAAGGAGGCAAAAGCTCGATTCTGCGCATAAAACACAAACTATATTTATACTCTTCTTGTCTCGATTTAACGTTTCATTCAATTCTTGCATTAAAGTTTTATCAAATGAATTATGCGATTGATGTTTTTCAAAAGAAAGTGAAACAATGCAAAGTATAAATCACACAATTCTATCCTTAAAAGAAAATAAAAACATTATTCAAGTGACTAAAAAAGAGGGGTAGGAGTATATTAATTTTACTAAAAACAAATATAACCCTACTGCCGCAAACGAACCGAGACCCTTGGCCCTTCCCTAAAAAACCAAAATAATAAAGAATCAGTCTCCTTAACTTTTTTGCTATTTTTGAACGATTAATCGGCGCATGGGGGTATGGGACAAAAAGTCATTGTCAAATCATCGACCAGATAACCTAACGTCAAAGCCACAAGTCGCAGACCCTAGTTGTTCCCTCGCGAGCGACGAGATGACTAATTGCCAACTAGCCGATGACTTAACATCTATGTTGACAAATTGTTCTCAAATAAAAACTTCTGCTTTATGATTTTCTGGATTTGTTCTATCATTTGTTTAATTGTTGTTTTTCCTATTTTTCTGATTTGCTAGTTTAATTTCTCTTTTTTCACCTGATTTTGTGTTTTTGAAGTTTTTCCATGTTTGATATTTGTTTTTTCTAATTTATGCTAGTTATTTCATGTCTTTTTCACTAAATAGATGTCTCTAATTATATCCATACTCCCTCATGGAGTTTATCAAGTGTTTAAAAGTGAAAAGCGTTTTGTGAGAAAACGGATGGTGAAAATTTGAAAGGTGTTTGGTCAAAAAGTGGATGGTGAAAAAGTGAAAGGTGTTTGGTAAAAGAGGAAAATATAAGAGCCACATATTCATTTCCTAAAAGGGGACATGGAAAAGTGTAAATCCATTTTGGGACATCAAATAAAGGAGACTGTAAACTTCATTTTGAGATGGAGGGAGTATTAGTTATGGCCAAGTGTTGGATGGATGGGTGCACTCAAAGCTAAGAACTTCAACATATTATATGCTATATTTTAAACTAACCTTACTATGTTTATTACTTACAACTTGTCACTTAGGCAATCGCCTAGTTGACTAGGCTTCCTAGCGATCCACTGGTGTCATGCTTCGTTGTGGCACCATGATAATTGATAACTATGTTTGTATGGTTGTGGCATAAGATGGATTGAGTTGTAAGGGGGCAATGAATTAAAAATCAGGACAGTATAAATGAAAAAACCAACCTTCGAAAATATCTTTTCAATATCCTGCAAAGGCTGTGTCCGTTGAAAAAAATATACCAAATACTCAAGTAGCTTCTCCAAATATTCCATGTACTGCCTGTTGAAAAAAAAGATAATGTTAATGGAACACAATATATCATATTAAAGAAAAGAGAATCAAACCATGTTAGTAGTTTTGTGTCCTTATACATACCAAACTATGAGTTCAACTATCAAATAAGTTAAAACTATGCGGAATGCAAAGGAAAATAGAAAGGAACATATCTAAATGAACTAATAAATCTAGTGAACATTTCAGAAGGATGATGGAAGCCAAAAAACAAAGTTCAAACCATTTGAAAAATAAAAATCATACACGGTCACATAACGAGTATACCCAAAAAATCTGATCTGATTAACTTCTTCAAGTAAGCCGGCCCTTTGGCTCGCTTCCGACTGTCTTGCCCACAATGAAAGCTTGTTCTCTCCAACTTCTTCTTAGTGGTTACTTATTCTTATTGAGATCCAGATCGAAAATAATTTTAAAGATAACTACGATCAGATCAGACTATATCAAACCGAAGTACTAGACCTTAACAAAACCAAATCAAATTCAATCAAATCAGATGAAGAGAAAAAGCTCTGAGATAGTATTGAAAATAATAGGGATTCATTTCACATTGTATTATCAAATTACGTAACGAGCCAAGATAACAATTCAACCAAACACAAGAAAAAAACCCACTACTCGTTTTACGTCAAGCAATACATGGCCCAAAGTGTGCTACCCTACACTTTTCAAACATTTTGGCACCAATCATCAACAGGTGAGTATTACACCAAGAAATGGCAACTTCAATTGTGAGGAATGTATTTAGCTTCAAAGCCCTACGCGCTTTACCTCTTGAAGATCTACATCTACCTAACGATCAAGCTTGTGGATTAAGTAAATTGAGTATCTTGCTTCTTTCTTCTCCAAAGGGAAAAAATCTATCTAAAGTTATTTACTGACACCGAAAAGGGAATACTGAGGATCTGCCAAAACATACTTTCCTAATAGAGTAAAGGCAAGCAGAAACTAAGACTTACAAAATGCAGTGAGAAATATACTTTCCAAATATAGATGTGACCTTCTACCGAAAAAAATGTGCTACTTAATCCCAAAAATGCGGTGAAACCGGAGAGGGTGGGTAGAAAATAATGTATATGGTGCACAATGTAAAGACCAAATAATGAAGTGCTTTGTTGCACAGCAAAGACTTAAAATTCCATTAAGGTCTCTCACAACACAATAGCACAAGAATGCCCTTCAGTCAAGAATAAAGAAGAGGGAAAAGCTTTGTCTCTACAGCTTCCTACATATTATGAGACCGTAACACAGGGGGTCGTCCACTCATGTCATAAGCATGGCTCTCAAGGTCACAGGCTGACACTAATGTTGGCCATTTCTTACCAGTTACCGTGCATACAAGTGATACCATATCTGATAAGCTCATACCTCTCCCAACTATTGTGTTGTGCAAATCACCCGACGGACCCTATGCTGATAGTGTGTTATGAAATGGAATATACAAAGTAGAATATAATGAAAACAATGACTTAATTGAGCGGAAGGATAATAGTCCCTTTGACTTAATACTGAATCCTTGCCCTTAAGCTGCACAAGATATACATATTACTGATAAGTAAGAAAGATACTCCCTCTGTCCATTTTTTATCTTCCCGCTTTCCTTTTTCATCCGTCTATAAATTATCTTCCCATTTCCTTATGGTAACTTTTTGTGTAAAATGATTAAGTTACCTTTCTTCCG